GAAATGGAGGTTATAAACTCACACATATCCATACTTTATTACAAATATCCCAACAGAATTAGCTGGAACTAACAGAAGAGGAAAAAGTTTTTCCTGAATAGTAGATCTCAAGCTTTATATGAGAACCCTCTGGGATACTAGAATTATAACTTACCAGTAAGCACAGGCAGCTGTGAGAAATAGCGAAAGCATCTAATCAAGATTTGGGAGTAGGAGATGGTGGGATAGGAAGGCTTCATGGTAGGATGATACCTGGAATTGAGTCTTAACGTGGGAGTAAGGATTGGACATTCAACAGAGTATGTGTGGGCAGCAGGGATACAGCTGGTGGTACTCTTTCGTACTGAAGAGGTAGGCAAGGGCCTGAAGGTGTGACAGTGATAGAGACTGAGCCTATTTGTTTGGTGATTATGCTTGTATGGGTAGACATGGGATGGGAGAGAGAGTGGGTGCTGAGGCTGAAGAAGTCTGCAGGGGGCAGATCATTTAGAAAGGGCTCCGTGTATCTGTCTAGAGTGATGAGGCATTGGGAACTCCTAAAGGGTTTTAAGCAGGGGACAGACAGAAGCAGTGTTGTATTTTGAACAACCACGTAAGGTAGTTCCTATGGATAAAGAATTGAGAGAAGAGACCAGAGGCCAGGAGACCAGGGAGGTATTGATGTATGAATGCAGATGAGAAATGATGGGCTTCCGATCCAGGGCAAATGAAGGGGTGGCTCTGAGGGATATGTGTGTGGTCAATTGTCAGGTGAGGCGGGTGGGGCAGACTTAGTGAAGACTGAGAATGGCTTGAAATGTCCTTTGAGTCTCTACTCTCACCAAAGGTAACCTCCATATGAACCTACCATAATGTTTTTATCCATTATGCTGTTGATTGAAACTTGTGTATTTCCTTATTCGAGGCTATTTTGACTAGTGTTTTGAACATTTTTGTGCATGTCTTTTCTTGAACATATGTACATATATATAAATATGTGGGGATTAGTTTAGGAAGCTAATTTCTGGCTAATATGGTATGCATATGTTCACTTTTAGGAGATACCACCAAACATTTTCCAGAGGGAATGTACAAATTTACTCTTCCATCAGCAGTATAAGGAAGTTCTGGTTACTCTAACCAACAACAGGTGTTTTTCATTTAACTCTTCTGGTGGGTATATAATGATGTTACATTGAGGTCTTAGTTTGCAATTCCTGGATGACTAATGATGGTGATCAAGGTTTCACTTGATTAATGGCAATTTAAGTGATCTTACAATCGAGTACCCTTTTGTTGTTAATGCGTAGGAGTTCTTTATTATGTATACAAATCTTTTAAATTCGTCATTTTATTGTAACATGTTTCATCTTTTTTCTCTATGATTTGTGCTTTTTGTGTCTGGTTTCAGAAATCTCCGGGCACTGCAAGGTGATGTAGATTTTTTTTGTGTTTGGGTCTAAAAACTGTATCGTTCTACATTTAGCATTTAAGTCTACAATATATCTGATATTACTTTTTGTGTACCATGTGAGGTAGGATTCAAAGTTTTTTTCTGTGTGAGTGTCCATATAATCCAGCAGAATGTATTAAAAAGACCATCCTTTCCTGTTTGCATTACAGGATCAACTTTGTCATAAATCTGGTGACTGTACATTCATGGGTCGGTTCTGGACTTTATTCTGCTTGATCGATCTATTTGTTTGTTTTTCTGCCACTTTCATGCTCACTACATATTATGGCTTTATAGTAAGTCTTAGTTTCTGGTAAGCTTTGTATTTTTTCTTCAAGATTCTTCCAGTTTTCCATATAAAGTTTATAACCAGGTTGTCAATTTCTGTAGGAAAGAAAAAACTGCTGGGATTTTGACTGGGAATCTTTATAATGTTGAATTGTCCAACTATGAACAGGGCATATTCCTCTACTTACTTAGGTCTTTCTAATTTTTCTAAATAAGATTTTCCTGCATATATTTCATTACATTAGATACTACATATTTGGTTTTCAAAAATCTTCTTACAAATTATTTTCTGGTTGCTAGTATAGATAAATCCATTGGATTTTTGTATGTTTGCATGTTAACTTCAGTTTGTCTTTGAGTTCTTTTAGAATGTCTATCTATGCAATTATGTGGTCTGCAGAAAATGACAGTTCTTTCTTCCTTTCCAATCCTTTGGTCTTTCATTTCTTTTCCTTGACTGATTTCACTAGCTAGGACCAGCAGTACAACAGTTATTGGAAATGGTTACGGTGAACATTTTTGTTGCACTTCTATTGCTAGGGAGTAAGTTATCTATACTTCACCATTCAGTATGACATTTGCTGTGGGTTACTTCTTTTATTGGAAATAATATTTATCACATTTAGAAAGAACTCTTCTATTCCTAGTTTTTGAATGGGTTTATTTCTAGTCTTAATAGACTGTAGACATTTACCAAATGCTTTTTCTGTATCTATTGATTATATACTTTTTTCTCCCTCCTTCCATTAACAAGATGAATTCCATTATTAGCTTCTCAAGTGCGAAATCAAACTTGAATTCTTGTACTAAACACAGTTTGATTGTTGATATATTTTCCTTTTCATGTTGCTGAATTCAATTGGCTAATATACTGTTCAGGAGTTTTGCCACAATGCTCGTGAGAGGGGTTTGTTTCTAAGTTTTCCTTCTTGTAATGTCTTTGTTATTTTTTGATATTTAGTTCATGCTGGTCTCATAAAATGATTTGAGGGAAATGTAACTCTTTTTCTATGCCTTGGAAGAGTTTGTTATGATTGGTATTATTCTTCTCTTAAATGTTGAAAGAATCCACCAGTAAAGCTATGTAGGCCTGGAGTTTTCTTTCTAGGAACGTTTTAAATAATAGATTCGATTTTTTTTGAAAGACAGTGCACTCTTTTGACTTTTGTTACTTCTTGTGTCAGTTTTGGTAATTTGTGTTTTTTGAGACATTTGTTCATTTCATTTAATTGTCAAGTGAGTTGGTATGAAAGTGTTTGTAATTTTTAAAATTTTCTTTTAAACGACTATAGGATCTGTAGTAATGTTCTTCTTTCATTCTTGATATTGGTAATTTGTGCTTTATTTCTTTTTCATTATCAATCTTTTAAAGACTTGTATATTCATTATTTCAAAGAATCAATTTTTGGCTTTGTTGATTTTTCTCCATTGTAAGTTGGATTATCATTTACTTGTTTTCTGCTCTTTACTATTTCATTCCTACAAGTTCTTTTTGGATTTGATTTGTAGCTTCTTGAGATGGAAGGTTAGCTAATTAATTTTTAGCCTATCTTCTATTCTAATACACACATTTAAATCATGAAGAATGGAAATAAATTCCCCAATAAGTACTGATAATGTATTATTTTCACCATCATTTAGTTCACTATATACTAATTTCTATTTGATTTTTTTTTTTGTCCAGTATATTATTTGGCAATATATGTTAATTTCAAAGAAGTAGGGTACTTTCCCAGTATACTTATTTTGAAATTGATTTCTAGCCAGTTTTTCAGTAATCAGTGAATATATTCTAAATTATTTTCATTCTTTAGATTTTTTTTTGAGCTTACATGTATGATGCAGCATATACTCAATTTTGAAAAATGTTTTATGAAGCTACAACATGTTTCCTTTGTTTAGTATTTGTGTGGTATATTTCTTCCATTCTTTTCTCCTAGTGTGTCTATGTCTGTATATTAAGTTTTATTTCATTTTTCCTCCAAGCTTTACTGGGAACATAACTGGTATAACATTGTATAAGGTGAAGGTGATATATTTATATGTTGCAAAATGATTAAGGTATGTTTCTTGTACACAAAAACCTCTTGTAGAGGTTTTTTTTTTAAGTAGTTTGAAAATAGGTCATTTATTAAAATGTTTAGCCATTTACATTTAAAGTAATTATCTACATACTAAAGTTCATATTTACCATCTTTCCACTCATTTTCTATTTGACCTACCTGTTTTCTGTTTGAAGTAACTTCCTGCTGCTATCACAGCACAGTGCCCGGCTAGCACCCTCTATTGGCAAAGCCTCATATTGTCAATTGACAAAGGAGAAATGTTCATAGGATGAGGAGAGGCTTGCAGCACATCCAGACACGTGGTCTCTAAGGCAGATGGGAACTTCATCTCTAAAGGTTTGGGGACTAGAACAGATCTGGTGTAAACTGATGGTTGCTAGATACTTGAGCGACCAGTTTGTTCACTGAGCCATGTGGAGTAAGACTGGGGATTTGCATATGATCAGTTTAATATTATTGTTTTGAGGCATTGTGTTCAATGCTTCATATACATTGCCTCTACTCCTTATGAAAACTATGAGAGAAGAGTATTATTAGCCACATTTTACAGATGAGGAGACGGAGGCTCAGAGAGGTTAAGTAACTTGCTCAAGACAGCAAATGAGAAGTGCGGCCGGAATTAAAATCCTAGCCTATCTGCCTCCAGGGCCGACATTCTTGCTAGACTACTGTACTTTACATGGTACTTAAATGAGTATGATTCTCTTACAGGCCCCACCATGTGGATGCCTCCAAGGCAGAACCAAAGCTGGGTTTCCGAATTTATCCTGCTTGGCTTCTCCAGTGACCCCTTGTCCAACAGGATCCTCTTCATTGCCTTCCTTCTCCTCTACCTGAGTTCAGTCCTGGGCAATGGGCTCATTGTCACCCTGATCTACCTGAACATGCATCTTCATACTCCCATGTACTTCTTCCTCTGTATCCTCTCCCTGTTGGACATGAGCTACATCACTACCACCATGCCCCAGATGTTGGTACATCTTCTTGCTCATTCTCAGACTATCTCCTTTGCTGGCTGTTGGCTACAGATGTATATGTTTGGTGCCCTGGGCTTGACTGAGTGCATTTTATTTGTAGTCATGGCTTATGACCGATACATAGCCATCTGTCACCCACTGCATTATACTGTCATCCTCAGCTGGGGCCTGTGTGTACGCCTGGCAGCTGGGGCAGGGGCCTGTGGTTTCTTCTCCTCTCTGATCCATACTTTCTTTACCATGAGGCTGCCATACTGTGGGCCCAACATAGTCAAGGTGTCTTCTTCTCTCTGATCCATCCTTTCTTCACCATGAGGCTGCCATACTGTGGGCCCAACATAGTCAACCACTACTTATGTGAAGGCCCCTCGGTACGAAGCTTGGCTTGCATGGATACCCATCTCATTGAGATGGTGGACCAGGTTATAAGTGTGCTCGTGGTTGTTGCCCCAATTTCAATCATTTTTGCCTCTTACATCCGCATTGGCCAGGCCATTCTCAAGATCAAGTCCACACAAGGCCGCTGCAAGGCTTTCTCCACCTGTGCTTCCCACCTGACTGTGGTCACGCTCTTCTATACTCCAGTCACCTACATCTACATGAGGCCCAACTCCAGCTCTTCCTCTGAGCAAGACAAGCATATCACACTCTTTTACAATGTCTTCAATGTCCTGCTCAACCCTTTGGTCTATAGTCTGAGGAACAAGGACATCAAAGTTGCTTTTCTCAAAGTGATGGGACAGGGTGGCATGAACTCGTGAATTGAGAGCTGAGAGAGGCCTGGGGTAGAATGTCCAATGCTAAAGAAAGGGACAACATTCATAGTGTATGCAATCAACATTGTGCATTTGCACCAACATAGTGCTTGTTCAGTAGAACAAATGTGGCACATAAAACCAATGTGTCTGTCTTGGTCAGCTTGCTACACTGTGGTGCAGTGGCTTACAGAAGCAAAAGATCTTTTACTACTCATGTTCCATGTCAGTGGTAGGTGTCCTGTGGCCTTCTGCCATTGGACTCTTGGGTTGAACCTGAAGGAAGAGGTTCTATCTGAAACATGCCATGCTTAGGACACAGGGAAAAGAATAACAGCTGACATATATGATATCTCTTAAAGTTTCTGCTCAGAAGTGACACACATCTCTTTGCTCACATCCTATTGGCCAAAGTAAGTCACATGTTGAAGCCTAATGGCAAAAGAGCAGGAAGTATCTTTTTCCCCAGAGAAAAGTAATGCAGGTCACATGGCAATGATTATGGATATATAATCCTTCTACAGCAAGAGCAGTAAATAATGAAGTTGATAATACAAGCTAACGTAATAGCACTGGAACCAATAGAATATATGTAACCCACATGAAACATGATAACTGTAAGTGATGTAGTACAGGGACACAGTAGAGTACCAAGATGAGGTAGGTACTCAAAGTGGTACATGTATACAAGAAATATCTATAGACAACACTGAAAATTAAGCCAATGGTTTATGGAAACAATGCAGCTCACAGACCTGATTTGGTGCATGGAACCAATACAGCTCAAGGAGCTAACACGGTGGGTATACTCTGTATTTTGTTGTATAAGGACACGGAACCTAACATTAAGTGACTTGAGTTCTAGCCAAGCTTGCTAACTTGTTTTGTGACTTGGGACAATTTACTTCTTTTATCTGGGTCTTACTTTATTCATCTATAAAATGAGTACTTTAAATTTAATTGACTCTGTGTCTCCAAACTTCTATATTCTGGTAGGTGGAGTGCATGAAATTACAATAAACTGTAAATCCTCTGTAAACCATAAGGTGAATAAATAATCCACAGAAAAATAAGAGTTGTTGCATGTATGTTGCCCATCTGTAAACCATATGGGCAGCACACATAGCAGTGACTCATTATTCCCAGAGATCTAAATGACGTATGGATTTCTCTAAGAATCCTGGCAGAGAGCCTCAGAGTTAGCATAGACATGTAGCTCTCTGCCAGGCCCCAGTGGCCCAGAGGTCTTGGGGATAAGTCAATTTAGTTTCAGCAGTTCTTGTGCATATATTATGGCCCAGCCAGAATGAGACCCCATGGAAACCAAGAGAGGTATGTGGAGAAACTTTCAGTCATGAAACTGTAATCCAGAATCCAGTGATCTGTGGTGACCGACGACCTCACAGCAGTGAAGTTTCCTCAGTGGGTGTCAGATGCAGAAGACCAGGTTATATCTCACCCACTCCTACCCACCACTGCACACCTTAGCACTTTGTAAGCCCTCTGGAGATTGGAGTCCAGGAGAGGGGAAAGGAAAACCCAAGAAGATAAAATTATTACTCCCACCAGTGGAATAATAGCCTAAAATAGAAATTAAGTTTAATTATTGAAAAACCAAGTTGCAGAATTCAGAGGAAATAAACGGAGTTATGTGATAGAGAAAAATGGAAGAGTGAAATCTACTTATCAAGAGCTGACAGGTAGATCTTTGTGAGGGAAGAAGATTTAGTTGATGCCTGAGGATGAGATGGAGTCACCCATTCAAATAGACAGTAGAAGGGCATTTCAGGAAAGGGGACAGCAGGCACAAAGGCCCCAATTCAAAAGAGGATTCCATTGTCCATGGACCTGGAAGAAGAGTCATGTGGTCATAATAAGGGCCCCATAAGAAGAGCCCTATAAGAAAATGCACTCTAAGTTCAGTGGGAATGCGTGGGTTCTTCTTATGGGAGTGGTGCAGTTTTAGGGATGACAGATTCCACTGTGGGTGTGACTTGAGGTGACTGGAAAGGAGATGGGAGCAAAGGTCATTGGGGATGAGGCTGTCAGGGACTCACAGTCCCAGAGTGAGAATAAAGAATCACTCTTTTAGAGAGCTGCAGGGGATGTGGTGTTCTCAGGGAGAATTCCAGGTTAAGGATGTTTGGAGGGGAAGTCGCTGATTATGGTGCCAAAGGTGACAAAGAAGAACTAGGGAAAGAACTGGAGAACTCTGTGCTTGGAATTTACACATATTTATTGTACATAATCATTCTCTTATTTTTTTTAATCACCATTTAAAAGATATTGAATACACATGTTATTGGATGTTAACATTATAATATTGTTTTCAGGTAACAAAGTATTCAGTGACATTGTGGTTGTATCTTGTTAGGTAAAAATATAGAGTCGTTTTGTTTGTTGTAAAGGTGTTTGAATGTACATAGAGGGATGCATATGGAAGGTGATTAGCCCAAAGTCTGTACTGTATCAGTTACTATTTTTTACCTCTCAGTTCCAAATGCAGCTTTCAATCTATGCTGTCTAATAAACAACATAATTCCCATAAATATTTCTCCTTTAAAGTGAGCATGATGCTAAACTTTCTTAGAAGGCACTGGAAGGACACTGCAGGAAGAATGAGTTTCCCTGCATTTTCCAGCCTGGGCCAGTTGCGGCCCAGAAGATACTATGACCTTGGAATCTCAGTCTGGTACTCTCTCATCATGGAAATCAGAGCTCCAACTCCCAGCCAACTGCCTGATTCCTTCCAGAAGCCTTGGAGTGTTCTGCACGCAGCCACCTTGTGCACTTGCAGCAAGCCTCTACCAGCATGCATACAGCACCTGTAGTCTTCAGGGTCACAGAATGAGAAGTTATTCCATCTGCAAACACATGCACTATGGAGGCTTTCTGTCCCATTAGCACCCAGCATCTGTATGTTCACACCACTGTTTGCCGGCTCCCTTCCCTACCCTCTGGAAGGTGGCCTATAGTTCGCAACTCCAGAGGAACTCTGGCTTTGCCAAACCAGTGAAATCTGCCTTTCACGTGAAACACACTTCCTCCAATGAGAACTGAATCCCTCCCAGGTCTGTCTTAACTTGACTTCTATCCCTTGGCCCTCGGACACCATATAGTGTTTCTTTATGTCTTATAATTACTCTCATCATAGTTAATATTTCTTTATATTAAATCTCCCCTGTTTAAATTATTGAGTAGTTTCTAACTTCTTATTGGACAAAAACAGTTACAGTCTCTCTAACCCTTCAAAGTAAGTATTATTATCTCCATTTTACCAAAGAGAAAAACTGAGGCTCAGAAAACTCATGTTCAGGATGCTTAGAGATTCATATCTTTAGCCCACAATTAGTGAATGAAGGGGCTGAGATTTCAACTCTGTTCTGTCTATTCCATCTCTGGTTGCTACTACCGAAAATTTTCAACCTTTGCGCTTCCATCTATGTCTTATGTTCCTTCCATAATGAGCATCATCTCTTTTTCATAGAGGTTTCTCTCTGAAATTCTGTTTCCTAAAAATAAGGCATATCCCATATCTTCCCTTTGTCCTCCATCTCTTTCCATTGTACTACTATCTTGATGTAGTCTGGGTATATGATCAACTCTTATAATGTTTCTACTACCCTTACCTTTGCCCTTGTGACTTGGGGACCTGGTGCATCCTGCTGATCTTTCTGCATGGCTCCTGCCAGCTCTCTCTCTCAATAACTCAGCAACTCTCCTAAACCCCTTCCTTATTACATTCCATAGCTTCTTCAGCAATGTCTATAACCAGCTGTGAAATGTGAAGTCAAATATTATCCTTCCTTATACAAGTTATAATCATCACAATGCTGCCAATACCACAATCATCATTAATTCCTTATTGAGTTCACAGCACTTCACTGACATCTGGCTGGAATGAATCTGCATTACCTCCATCTGAACCATCACTTTTATCGAGAGCTCTTAGTTAATGAAGGCTCAACAATTCTGATGTTAAAGAGGCTCAACATTAATCAGAAAGAGGCGTAATAGTTTGAATCAAATGCAAGTTCTTTCTTGGCACTCTGTGTACAGTTGGGGCTCTTGATGTTTGAGGATAGCCCACCTGCCGAAGCCATCACAAAATAACAGAGACGCACCCAAAAAAATCTTCACATTTCCCCAAATAGAAGTCAATAATTTTTACCTGTCCATCAGGTTATGGGAGGGAATGGGGTGGAAACACCACAGAACATGTAGTTTTAGGTCTGGTTTTGGCCTTCTGTTCTCCAGTGGCCTCACTCAGAGACCCTGCCTCAGCCTATTACCTTGAGGAAAGCCCTCTTCACATCTTTGTTTCTGACGCTATAGATGATGGGGTTGAGAAAGGCAGACATGACATTGTAGAACAGAGCCAGTTTCTTGTCCCGCTCTGGGGAGGCATCGGCCCCAGGCTTCATGTACATAAACATGGCAGGTCCACAGAACATGGTTACCATGGTGATGTGGGAGGCACAGGTGGAGAAAGCCTTGAGTCGACCCTGGGTTGAAGGGATTCTCAAGATGGTGGCAAAGATGCGAATATAAGAGGTCAGAATGAAAGAAAGGGGTACCATGAGAAGGATGAAGCCCAGAGTGAAATCAACTCGGTCATTGAGGGATGTGTCTGCACAGGCCAATTTTAGAACAGCAAGAACCTCACAGAAGAAGTGATTGATCTCATTGGGGCCACAGTAAGGCAGGCGCATTGTGAAGACAATATAGACAAGGGAACAGCTGACACCCCACAATCCACAAAAGACCACCATTGCCCCACACAGCCATGGGCTCATGATAACCTTGTACCTAAGTGCGTGGCAGATGGCTACATACCTATCATAGGCCATGACAGAGAACAGCCAGCCCTCAGTGATGCCCAACACCAGAAAGATGTACATCTGCATCACACATCCAATATAGGAGATAGTTTTCTTCTGGCAGAGCAGATGCACCAACATCTGGGCACAGTGGTGGTAGCATAACTCATGTCTAGCATGGAGAGG